CAGGGTCTCACTATGTAGTTGAGACTGACCTGGAACTATGTAGCCCAGGCTGGTCTCAAACTCACAGTGATCCTCCTGCTTCAGCCTCCCGAGTGCTGGGATTACAGGCATGTGCCACCATGCCCGGCTTCCCATATATATTCTGAATTTAAAAAGAATTTAGAAAACTCTTCTTGAGTTGTTATATAAGTACCATGTGCTAATCGATTGCACCACTGGAGCTCCTCTTCTTGAGTTGTTATCTTATAGTTGGCTTACCTCTTCTGCTCCTTCTTGACAGGAATAATAGGTAAAATAATTCCCAAAATGAGCTCCTTCTGACTTTAAAACAGATCCATCTCCAGGATAAATCTCTATTGAGTTCATATTTTTATGGGTAAGCCTAAGGAGAAGACATAATCATTAAATTTTTTTTTCTAATTGAAAACATACACAAAGGCAGTCATAAGTAGATTATCTCATATTCTGAACAAAACCACAGCTAAAGTAACTTTTTTTTGCAAAGGATAAACAGAACACAGAGCGATAGTTTATATATTTATTTTAAAAACTTAAGATCAGAGCTTCTGGCAATCTGGCATCTTACCATCCTCTTGGCATCCCCACTGCCAGTCATAGGGCTTAGCATATTTACATTAAATACAACAGTTACAGGACCAGAAAATAAGGTTACTCTTTAGTGCCACCAATGCCTGATGGATAAGATTAATCATCTCTGCAAGGTGGCATCACTAAATGCAAGTGAGCAATTATACCTGGAATAGCCAGCTACAATTAAGGTACAGTGGATATAATGTATAAAAAGTGAAGTCAAGTGAATTTTGCTGGAATATATATGAAGACTATGTCATTAGAAAGGGGTGAATTTTCATACAGGAAAAGGTGAGCCCCTCTCCACCGAAAGTGAAAAACTGAAACAACAACAACTTAGGAGTGTTCTTTTAGCACTGCTCATGTAAGTAAAACACTTGATCCAGCTAACAGCAGTACTGCAGTGACCAGAGATACACACTCTATTGTGGGTAGGGATCATTTATGAAGTAGCACTGGCCCAGAGAAGTTACTCAAAGAATATTTGCTTTGAATGAAGGCTAAAAATCTTCCTCAGGCTACCTAACATCTACTATAATTCTGCGCTCAGCAGGTAAAACAGTGATGTAACTAATTCAGACAAGTAGGCCTTTTGATATATACTAAATCACTGAGATATAAATATTATTATATTCACTTGCAAAATTACTTCAGAGTTTCCACTTAGGTCTTGTAAACATGGTTAATGTGAGTCACAAAGCCCCTGGGTACAGATTAGTTTTAAGACCTATACAATTCAGGATGAAATACAGGAGCACAAGTGACCCAGAAAACCTGTCCTCTTGTAAGAGTATTTCTGTAGGGCTAGTTACAGCCCCTTACCAACACAGGTGCCCTTACCTGTACGTAATACCCTTATACCAAACCACTTTTACTAGTTCAGGATAAGAATATTCTTCATCAGTCTGTGTCTGTAAAAGTGTATCACAAAACTTCCACCTGTAAAGGACAAAATGCAGGGTATTAATTATGGTTGCTCAAAATTATTGCCCATTAAAAGCCAACAAATAGTACCACTATGGCATGTATTTCTTGCTTAACTCATTAGACCACAAAAAAATAAAATACAGATGTGTAGTGCATGCCTGTAATCACAGCACTTAGGAGGCTGAGGCAGGAGGATTGCCAGAAGTTCAAGGGTAGCCTAAACTACATAGTAAGACTCTTAAAAAAAAGTATGTAAATAAATCTTAAAACAAGAGATGACCAATTATACCTGGAGTAGGCAAGTACTTTTTCTTCAGTAGTTTCAATAATCTCATTATTGGATTCCAGCACAAATTACATAAACTGCTTTACTAATCTTTAAAATTTAGCCTGATTCAAACAAATACTGAAATATTCATAGTGAGCTAGGCACTGTACATACACATTGAGGATATAACAATCAGAAAAGCAGGCATGGTTCCTGCCCTCTGGAGATTCCTACTTGACATGGATGTTGAGTAGTAATCACTGAATGTAAAGGGAAGGTACTAAATGCTGTGAACTCATATAAATACCTAATTTGTCCAGGATCTCTTAGAAAACTACCCTAAAAGATGTGAGGCTTAAGCTGAAATCTAGAAATGAGCCCAATTAGCCAGTTTAGAGAGATCAAGGGAGAGGGCTCCTGGAAAACCAAAAAGCAGGTCCACTGGTGAAGAAGCCTGAGTGAGCATTTTAAGGAATTCAACAAATCTAGTTTAAGAAAAACAGAGGAACAAGGGCAAGAGTACGAAGAGCTGTTTACAGAAGGGATGAGATCATGGTAGATGTGTTAAACTACATTAAGGAAGATAGATTCTTTGCAGATAGGAAGGGGTCTAAGAGATGGAAGTGGGGAGGGGAAGGAGAACAAGGGGATATTAAAAGAATTAAGTGTTATATACATGAACCACTTCCCCCCGATGAATGTAATCCCTACTGCAGACATGTACCAATAAAAATTACATTTTTTAAAAAACAGAGGCATAAAAATTTATTTTGACACATACTCATCATCCTAAATTTTCCAATTTTATGTGTAACAGGTAACCATGACAAGCCTAAAAAGTCATTCCCATATTTTCTACTAAAAAACAAGTGTGTACTTAAGAGATTATCTGGGTTGGAATTTCAATTGTACAAGTCCTTCTATATAACCATGTTCAAGTTACTAACATTTGTGCCTGGCATGATGACACATGTCTGTAATCCCAGTACTCTGGGAGAGTGAAGGAGGAGGATCAGATTATAAATTCAAGCCCAGTCTGGGCAACCTAGTGACTTAGCAAGACACTGTCTCAAAATAAAGAAATAAAAAGGGCTGGGGATATAGGTTAGTGTGAAGGCCTTAGTTCAATCCCCAATACAACCCCCCAAAATCAAGTTATTAACACTCTGGGTCTCAAATTTCTCTACAAAAAGATGGTAACAGAATTTACTGTTACAATGAGGATCAAATAAGAAACGTACAACAGTATCTGACATATAAACAGTTTCTGTTAGCTATAATTCCTGAAGTAGTTGTACAAACTTTAGGATATAAGCTTACAACTATTAAATTATTCATCTTAATGGAAGTAAAAAGCTTATTCCTAGCTACTGAGTGACCTCTACCTGTTCACTCCTTTTGAAAATGGACATATTAAGTCAGTAGACCAACCTCTGAGGATCAGGTATGAAAGAAAGAACTCATGACCATAACTGTCAAACCATGCCCCAGTAATCCAGGTCACCATCTGCACTGAGCAGGCTCTCTCCTATAGAGCCACTCCTGTCCAATCCCTCACCACACATAGGGACAGTGGCCTTCACTGGACTCTGAATTGCTAGAAGGCAGCGACTATATCTTAGCCAACTCTACAGTCACTGTGCTTTACAAGTATCTAGTGTTGAGCTGGCCTCCTCAAAACACAAGTAACATCTTCCCCAGGGAAATTACTTACTACCTGTTAAAAGAAAAGATTTGGGTCAGTTAAGTTACGCAAAGATTTGGGTTAGATTTAGAAAGAAAATTATGCTGACAAAGAAGGCTTCTTACAAAAATGTTATGACCAATAAGCCTCTCTTCCATTACCTGTGCAGATGTGGGAAAGGACAACTGAGTAACAGGGCCTTGGGAAGAATGGAAACCTCTTTTCTTCTTTCCTCTGAAACGTGAGAAGTTAAAATTCTACTCGTGGTGGTATCTGGATCAATTTTAGGCATATGAGTAACTTTATTATGAAAAAAAAGTGCTAAAGACAAAGGGTACTGCCATTCTTCTGGACAGGAGGCCACAGACCAGCACTGCTCTACCCATGTGTATATACATGTGTGATTTGCATCAGATGAAGGCAGCTCCGCTCTCCCTTCAGTTTCATTTGCACAACTCGTCTTCTGTAAAGGTTCTTTGGATTTCAAGATCTGGCAACAAAGTTCATTTTCCTTATTCTTTAGTCTTTGTCCTGATAAACTTCCAGAGATCTTGTTGGCTTTTTCAACTAGTTTATCTTTTGGAACTTTTTTATTTATTTCTGACAATAATCCTGGCTTCTGGCTAATTTTACACAAAAAATGTACTGTAAATTCATGCTGAGATTTGGGCAGGCAAAGGTATGCGTGGCCATCTAAAGATGTTATCTTCACAGTGCCACCCTCCATACTTATCATGCTGTCATCTGCTTCAAGATTGGGCCATCTCACTTCTGAACTATCAATGAAGATATGCTAAATTGCAGAAGGAAAAAAACATGGTGAGTATTTTCTGCAAACATCCAATTCTTCCATACTTTTGACAGTTAAGCACTGTGTAAGAAAATACTCACATACTTGTTTGTATTTTTACTACCTAGAGAGGATAAAAAGGGAAGCTTATATATAGCTTTCCAGAGACTATTGAATAGTTAATATAGTGGACCCTTGACTTACAAACTCAATCGGTTCTTCAGGGGTGTTTGTAACCCAAGTTGGTTGTAAGTCAATACAGCTGAGTTCTGATTGTTAACCTGGGTACACACTACAGATAATAAAAGGTAATGAATCTTCCATTAACCTAATTAACCCAAGTTGTTCATATGTCTGGCCAGTCATAACTTAATGGTCCACTGTATAAGTTCTTTCAAAAGAAGAGATTTAAAATACACACAAAATGAAAGAAATAAAAGGAACACACCATCCTCATCATATTTAGCACTTAACATTTTTTGGATTAAAACACACAATTTGTTGCAGATAAAAAGATTTGAATACTCCTTACCCCAAAAGTCTACTCTGAAAGAAAACAGAAACAAGAGAGGACCTGCAGTATAACATACTTTATTAGAAGCATTCAGAGCTTAAATGATACAAGACTAGTATATAAGTCCCTAATAGAGCAACTCAGAAAATACAAAAAACAGGGCCGGAGATTTAGCTCAGTGGCACCACTTTCCTGAGTTCAATCCCCAGTACCACAGTACCAAAAAAAAAAAGAAAGAAAAGAAAAAAGACTCCATTATATCTTAAAATGTTACATGGGATAACATCAAACCAAGAGGGAAAGAGGGTTATTTCTTTCTCTCTCCACCCCGTGCCCCCATGGATTGAACACCAAGCTGGCACTCACTATGTACATATTCTCTTACTGAGCTACACCCCAGCCCAAGAGAATTATTTAGTAAATGGTACTGAAGTTATGAACAGAATTTAGGAAATACTATCTTGAAGGGTTATCACATGGACTAAAAAAATAACATATAAAATACCTATCCTAGATAGCACGTGACACACCAAAAACTAAAATAAAATTCCAGATGGCTTAAAGAGGAATTTTAAAAGATGAAAATATTCAAAGGTACAACAGCCAGCAGACTCATAAGAAGTAACAGTGCCTGCTGTCTTTTTATCTAAGATATAGTGAGTATTGTATAACAATATTTTAGCCAATTAATTTTGCCAATATTTTAACATTTTAACTTCCAAAACATTAATTTTAGCTTGGCATGGTGGTACATGCTTATAAGCCCACCATTCTGGGAGGCTGAAGCAAGAGGATCGCAAGTTCAAGCCCACCCTGAGCAATTTAGAAAGATTTCCTCTCAAAAACAGAAACAATAACAAAAATGGAACACTGGGGAGGGGCTGGCTGGAATTGTAGCTCAGGGTGAAGGCACTGGGTTCAATGTCCAGGACTGCAAAAAAAAAATTTTTTTTTAATTTAAAAAATAAATTAAAAATTAAAAAAAATAAAGAAGGCTTAATTTTACAAAAATTATTGTCAAGAAAACCTCTTAAATATACAGTGTTTCCTATGTTAGGATGCTAAAAAAATGGTACTATTTATTTGATGGCAAGCCTGATTTGTAAGGAAGATCAGTTATGAAAGCTCTATCTTCTAGAATTAGGCTACTTAATACTACTACTCATCAGCAGCAAGCTACACAATTTCAAATAATAAAAGTTATTTAAAATCTACAATGGAAAAAATCTCACACGATTAGGTTATATTTTACAACTTTTTATGACTTTGTCACAATATAACAGATATTATTTAGTAAGCGGGAAGCACTGTAGCAGAATTAGAAAAGAAGCAGAAAAAAGACAGAGTTGGACTGGGGATGTGCTTAGCAGGTATCAAACCCTGGGTTAGATCTCCAGTACCAAAAAAGAAAAAAATTAGAGTTATAGAGACTGGGCTCAAATTCTGTCTTTGCCATTTAAAAAATTTCCACAGACAAATCAGGTACATTCTCTGAGACAGTTTCCTCATCTATAAAATAGAGCTGGTAACCAGCCAATACATCTGTATTAATAGGTTGGACATCCATTCTGACAACAGGTAGACACCCATACTGTAAGAACAGTATTAAATACTTTCAATATGATTCTTAGTGTTTGTACTTAGTAAACTCCCCATAAATGGTGGTAATTATTATTCCTCAGTGCAAAATAAAATCTAAGCAAAAAAATAAAATTTTTATACCTAAATTACATATTCCTACTATATACTTACAAATAACTATAAATGTTATGAAAATGCTCAAAGAATTTCTTAAATTTTGGGACTTCTGAGAATAAAAAAGTCACCAATCTGAAAAGTTATCATCCTTGGCTGTAAAGAAAATAGCAGAAGCCAGGTGTGGTGCTGCACACCTACAGTCCCAGCACTTGAGAGGCTAATGCATGAGGATTGCCATGAGTTTGAGGCTAGCCTAAGCCTCATAGTGAGACCCTGTCTTAAAAATTCAAAAGATAAAAATAAAAAAGGCAGAGATACAAACTATGTAACTTCTGTGTTCCTTAGGTGAAATCTATAGGCCTGTGCATTCAAGCATATTTGTTTTTCCTGAGTATCCTGGGGGAAGGAGAAAGACTAAACATTTCTAATTACCTAAAAAATGAGTTTTTTAAAAAAACTTACCTTTTTTCTTTCAGAAGGAATGATTCTTTCAGATAAAAAAGGGCAAGTAGCTGAAGCATTTCGAAAATCTAGGGCACGCTGAAGTTGTTTCTAAAAAAAAGAAATGTAAAATGTCTCCTTAAAAAATATAAAATGATTTTAAAATCAGTATAGAATGACAGCAATCCAGAATATAAACTAATTTTCATATTCTAGTCCTTTTGGACAATATTTTAGTATTCAAAAAAGTTGATATTACTTACTCGGTAAGTGCTAATAACAAAGTGTGTCCTTTGACGAATTCTTTCTGGTTGTTCTAAAGGATGTGCTGAAATAGGAGGTGACTTTTCAAATAAAAATTCAGAGCCACAGGGAGAAAGTTGCAATTTAGAACCATCAACATACTGTACTTGTACTGAATCATCTTCATAAAGTACCATCTGCACTTCAGCTGCCATTACAGACAGGGTATGACTATGTCCTCCCCAGGTAAAGACTGAAGGAAATGAAAAACACAATGGCACAAACAGTTCTTTTAATGCAAATTCCATCAAAATAAGTAGATGCATTTTCTAACAACATAAGTAAAACATGCTGCCACTGCATTTACTTATGCTGGAGGAAAAGTGACCTTACTATAAAAGGATCTAAAATTAACGTTTTTAACAAAAATGTTAACCCCTAGGACTAATGTAGGAATATAACCTGGAGGGAGAAGACAGCTTGCAAAGTTATAACTGCTTATAATTTCTGTAGCCTTATTACTTTTGAAGTTTAAGCTTTGTAAATTATATTCTGAGGATCTCATTTCAAATAACAAGTAAATTGTTACACTGTTATAACATGAATATAGCAAAACATCTATACTACATGCAAAAGACAGGCCAAAATTAATTACTAGGCCTAAGAGAAAAGTCCACTGAAAAAGAAATCGAAATACCTGGATTCTTGTCCCTAGCCTGGCATTATGGAGACAGTTGTTGCATGTGTCTTCAAGTGTCTTAAATTCATCATTTCCTGAGTTTCATTTCCTATTTCTAAAATGACCCTATGTTCAAAATTTAAAAATAAATAAATAAAATGACCCTATCTTCACTTATGCTCTCCATACAAGTGCAGGAAAAGTAGAGCTGACCTCCACTCATACTCTTCCATTGACTAGCTATGACTCCCAGGTTGTTTCTACATTTATTTTTTTATTGTTGTTGTTTCTACATTTGTAAACAGGGATAGTAGCAGGACTGTTGTGAAAAATAAATGAGAAAATACATACAATGCCTAGCACTGCAAAAGTCATCTTGTAAGAGCTCAGTAAAGCTTGTGACATGGTTTTGTTCCTTCCTAACCCTAATCCCACCCCTTTTACTATTCAGGTGATCAAATTTCACCTGCAAAAGACAATAAATTTCCATAGATAATACTTCCCCATTTCCTATCAATATACCTTTGAAGAGTAGTAAAACTTTCATGGCCTACTTTATCAATGTTCAATCCACTGCAATCCAGCTTTCTCCTCTACTTCTCTACTGAGATTATTTCACAATGGTCAGGAATGTATCCTGAATACTACTAGACCTGGTCAACCTGTGGCAACAATGTTTACCATCCCCTTACCAAACTCTCTTCCCTTGCTATCTCCACCTAACCACCACTTCCCATCTGGGGCTGCTAAAGATTTCTTTTCTCTACTTCTGTTTTATCATTCACTTAATTACCTTAAATTAAAGATTCTTCAAGACCTGATCTTAGTCTCCATTTCATCTCTTACTATGAAAATGCATGTTACTGTTAGACCTCACCTTTTTTAATTTTAATCTTGCCCCTTTTCAATGCACATAATCAGCTGTATATGATACGTCCTATAATCTTGTGTGGAATGTCTGGGTATAAGTAACTAACCATTTGATCTCTTCTAAGGAGATTCACATAATTTTTTTTTTTCTCTAGAGAACTTCTAAATCCACTGATCTCTTTCCAGGACATTCAGTACCCTGGCTGCTTGCCTGCTAAGCTTTTTTTCATGTCCCTGTTCCATAGGTAAATCAAACCCAATATGACTAACATAGAATTTAACCATTTCTACCAAAAACAGACTTCTGTAACATCCTCTAATTTCACTTTCACTCTCAACTCTTCCCTCAAGTCCAATCTAAATACAGTAGTCAAGGAGATCTTTCAAAATAAAAATCAGATCTATCACTCCTTGGCTTAAAACCCACCAATACCTTCCATTTGCATTTACAATAAAATCCAAACCCCTAATCATAGCCTACAAAGGCCATACAGTCTAGCCCTATCTATCTGTACAAATGTCATCTCTCAACTCCCTTCCCCTAGTTCAGGACCCTTTAGTCAGATGTTTTTTTAAAAAGTTCTTTAAACAAGTTCTCATCTCAGAATCTTCATACATTCTTTCTGCCTAGTTTGTCCTTCCTTAGCTTAAGAATCACTTTTTTTGTCATTAAGATCTCACAAAGTTAAAAGTTGCTCCCAATCATCACCTAATCATTTATTCTATTTCTTTTTCTTCAAAGAACTTACAGCTATTCAAATTGTTTAGTTGTCTTTTTGTATTTAATATGTGCAACTTGAACAATGAAAAAATGATTCCCTATAACTTGTATATAATATATAAAAATATACAAATATATGTACACATACATATTTAATACTTTTTATGTACAGTTAATTCCACTGTTTTGACTCAACAGAGCAGGGACCTTATCTGTCTTACTCATAATTGTATCGCTGGGACCTAAAAACAGTATCAGGCAACAAATATTCATTGAATGATCAAAGAATAAATGAGTAAAATTGTAAATTCTAGCTTGAGTTCACAATTTGAGATAATGGAACCTCAATATTAGTAGTCAATGTTAGCAATATGTATTTGAATTCTCCGTGTTTCCTCCATACCTCTGTAACAAATCTTGTTGATTTTTTAAGTTTCTCTTGAACTTGGCTCTCTTTATCCCTTTTTTATCTAATCTCCTCTCAAATCCTGCAAATGTCTAGGGTATTTTTCCTGTTTCTTCTCTCTGATCCTTCTCTAGTACTGCTGCATAGGTAACTTTCCACAAGACAGACTATATTAACTGCTTTACATTTGTTTAAATACCCGTTAAATAGTAATAAATGGTCATGGGAATAAATGGTAATATATTTCTGTTATACACACACACACACACACACACACACACTCCCCTACCGCGTACATATCTACCCGGTATCTCAAGAAAAAAACGTGTGCCTCTATATACTTGAACAATTCCTTATTTTCTAATTCCAAATTGGAAAAAGAGGTCTCTATCTTTGTGTTAGTGTTTTTTGCATGTTTGTTTGTAAGATACCTATACATGAAGTATAAGTGGTGTGTTTCAATCGATAGTAATTTTGAATAATCAAGCATACATACTAATCAGTGTAGTATCTAAAGTTCCTAGTGTAACAAAGAAAATCATAATCTAGCCCCAACCCTCATTTCCAGCCTCATCTCTACTGCCTTATGTCTATGTTCTCACCACCCAGTACATTTTGTCAGGGTGTTAGCCACAAATTAAACTATTCTTGACACTGGTGGGAAGCCCACTTTTCAAAATACGGTATCTGGTTACAGAAAAGTCTCATCCAAACAACTAAATGTCTTGCACTCACACAAACAGTTCTGAGTTACGAAGCTGCGGCTAAGAGGCCTCTGAGTTTGTTTGCCAAAATGCTGGAAACCTGCAGTGCCTGCGCCTTCCCACGACAGCGTCTCCAGGGATATTTTCCGAATTTCACAAATTACCAACGAGTGATGTTTCCTGATGACGGAAAATAATAGCAAACGCAGAGAAATAGGGCCACAGGAAGAACGTTTTGGCTGAAAAGCCAGCCGAGTCTGGACAGCGGAAGAATACCAATAAGTATAGCCGCGACCAAGGAGAGAAATATTAGCAGCTGTTCAAAGATCCCCGCCCCAGGTCTGCGGCTCGGCGTCTCCGGAAATATGAAGCCGGAAGTTCCGCCCCTCAGCCCCAGAGACCAGCACCACTCTCGTCGCTGCCAAGGGCGGGCCAGGAAGCAGGAGTCGGGCTAACGTAAATTTGGGATGCACACTGTCAGCGTTTACTTCCGGTACCCACAGGTAAGCGGACGGATGTGGTAGTAATTAACCAGCCTTGTAACAGTTCAGCCAAGAACCACAAGAGTAGATTTTAAATAACCGAAACAATAACACCTCAGTAAAGCTGTTTAAAAAAGAAAACCTCTTTGCCGCAGAGAACTTTCGTTAATGTGGTACCAGAAAAATACGCCTTCCAACTATGTTATTGCCATTAAACAAGTATTTGCAGAGACTCTGCTATGTGCAAGGTGCACCAGGAAGCAGAGTAAGAGGCCCAGTTCTTTTGGGGGCGAGGGTGAGGACTAGAGATTAATTGGAAAGAAAGCCTAAATCATTTAATTACACTTGTGGGAAATGTTCCTAAGATAAATGTTCGTGAGAGCATATAGTGGAAAGGCAAAATATTTCCACTGAAATAAAGTTTTAAGTAAGTGTTAGGCAGGTACGGTAGGGGACAAAGTATTTCAAGCATAGGTTAAAGCTCTGAAGTCCAGGAGAAAGATGTTTCCCCTTAAATGTTTAAAGAAAGGAAGGTAGTTTAAGCAAAAGGAAGAGAAACCTGAAGGGGAGTGTGTGGCTGGGGCCAAATCATTACGGAGTTAGGAATCTCGGGCTTTATCTTACGACATTTTCTGATATCAAACTGGGAAAGAAGGTCTCTATCTGGACAGTCTTTTTTTTTTTAACTCTGGACCTTGTGCTTGCGAGGCAGGTGCGGTGCCACTGAGCTAAATCCACCGCCCTTCGACAGTCTTTTTGTTTTGTTTAGACAACTTTATTGAAGTATACTTATATTACAACTTCAAGCAAAAGTGACAGCCCAAAGGGACAGGAAGACATCTACCTCTGAAAACTCACCTTCATTTTAAAAAGGCTGATTATACAAACTGATCTCAATCTTATGTAAAGTGTGAAGGCATTCTGAGACATCAGTTTGTATTATACAGTCCTTAGTTCTATTCCACCCTAGCCTTTTTGCCCTCCAATGTCTGTCTTCTAAATGGAAATTCTACTAGAGTGATTTTGTGATGTTATTTGTACTCCTGAAAGATTTCTGGAACTGCTGACTGGAGAATGGATTATGGGATGCAAGAGCAGATGTGGAGAGCTCATTAGAAGGCTTAAAAAAAAAACAACAACAGGAGAGATTGGGTACTTGATTGTAATCCCAGTATTATAGATGGCTAAGATTAATAGACAGAGAGGGATCAGGCTTTTGAGAAAGTGCAAAAGATGAGACACATAAAAAATTGTGGCTGCAACGAATGAAGTAAGCCAGGCATGCAGGCCTCCCTAGAGATAAACAGGCAGTTGAGATTACACTGTAATTAGCACCACCCAGCCCAGGAAGCCTGCATCAGATGCATAGGTGGGCTGAACAAACACCCTGACCCACACTCCCATTCCTTTCCAGAAATGCCTGTTCTTTCTACATTAAAAGTTACAGAGGGGCCGGGGAAGCACATGGGCCCAAGTTTGATCCCAGTACCAGGAAAAGGTTAGAGATAAGCTAATAATACTCACCATATACCTTTGCTACATGCCTCACTTCTCTATTGGACCAGTATTGGCTAAGCAACTAGTAATCCTATAGGTTGATAATAGTTTGACCCATAGCCACCCAAGATATGATTCTGCTGTATAGGATGCCCCTGACAAAGAGCCACAGCAGCCACCCACTCAGGTCCCCTCTTGGAAATGCAGGAGCTATTCTTATTTCCAGTAACTCTGTTTGCAATTTATGTGAGACTGTGAGCTTGTTACATGAGATAACACAACCTATCTTGGGAGACTAAAGTGGAAAGATTCCTTGAGTCAGATCTGGAGTTGGAGGCCAGTTTGAGCATCCCAGCAAAGCCTCAAATAAAAAAAAACACACACACATAAAATCAAATGGAGAGAAAAATAGTATCAGGAACTTAGGACCTAGGCAATGACCAGAGAGTACAGCTCCATGAAAGTACAGCTCTACAAAATATCTAGGAGCCCAACTCTCCTTGGAGATTGAATTTAGGATTTGAGGGAGATATAGGAATCTAAAACAATGACAGCTTTCTGTTGGAGTGAAAAGGTGGCAGTGCCATCAGTGAGGGGGGTATAGAAGAATAAATTTAGTGATGGCATGAGTTAAATATTTTAGCCTGGTGGAAATAGATAAGTTAGTAAAGATTTGGAATCAGGAGACAGAAACAAACCTGAAAGTCACTCACTGATAAGAGCTAACTGAAGCTAAAGGATAGGATGAAATAGTCCAAAAATATGGTGACATTAGAAAATTAGAATGCTTAGGATGATTTGAGGAACACCAGTGTTTTAGATATTAGGTGAAGGAAGAGAAGCCCACAAAAAGTAAGGGGGAGAAGTAATTGCATAGAGAACAGGTTATTGTGTCTGAGATGCCTAAAGGTTTTCAATTTCTATGTCACATATTGCCAGAGGACAAGTTAAAACAAAACGAGATAATACTTGAGAAGTCTGTGAAGCACTGACCTGTTGGGAGAAATGTAAGGGCCAATTTTTTTTTTTTTTTTTTTTGCTGAGGAATGGCACTCTCAACTCACACAGGAACCAGATTTAAAACACACAACACACACACACGATTTCATGAACACAGTGAGACCAGATTCTAGCATATTTTGAATAATTAGCTTTTAAAAAGTATATTTCCTATACAGAAATACATTTGTGTAATTTGGCCTTTTTCCTGTGAAGCAAATCAGTAGGGGATGAAGAGGCTGTTACAGTGAAGAGGGTATGAAGCAGTTAAAAAGGGATGAAAGAAACTAAGACTGTTGGCATTGCTGAGCACCTAATTGAAGGTGATAATGAGTTTATGGTGGTACAGACTTACTAAAAGCAAGACTTGTATCCAGGTGCTGTGCTGCATGCCTGTAATACCAGCTACTTGGGAGAAGGAGGCAGGAACATTTAAGTTCAAAGCCAGCTTGGGCAATTTATCAAGACCATCTCAAAAAATTTAAAAGGCTTAAGGTTGGGTGGTAGAGCATCCCATGGTCCAATTCCCTAATACTGGAATAATAAAAATGTGGGACCTGAAGGTATATACTCACAAAGGGATTTGTGCTGAAGGGATTTTAAGTGCTAAGAGAAGGGAGATCAGTTCTAGGTAGGACACTGTTTCATCAGCAAGATTAGAGGCAAAGATCTACTAACGGGTGCTGTCACGAGGCAAGGATGGTTTAGCAACTGGGTATTCCCAGTAGTGGAAGGGTGGAGGCAGTTCTAGGGATATCAAAGCAGTAGCCACAAAAGGTTGGGTTCATACTTTATAGGTGCTAGAAGGGCTTGGAAGAAAATGTTTCCTGTGACCTTTGTACTTGGCTCTGTATCTATCCTCCTAACCTAACACTAGAGGTATTTTTTTTCAGTGAGCCAACTTCCAGTCAACAGGTTTAACTTTCATACCAAATATCCTCCTCTCTTGCTAAATGTGACTGAATTGTTCACAAGTACAACTTAATCCACATTCACCTGTCCTCCCCACAAATGTTTTAATGCAATTATCTATAAAATTACCCGTTTTGACAACTCCCAATCTGCAGTGACCCTCTAATGCTTTGGACCACCCCCAAATTATCCAACTGAAGCTCAAATTTTATTTTAGATTCTAACACCCTGATACTGATACACCCATTTCTCCAAGGTGTGTTTTCCCTTATTGCAACAAACACTTCCAGGTATAGGTTTGTTCCTGGTAGTTTTAGATAGAGAGCATTGACAACATATAGAGTTTAAGTTGGTAACATGACTGCCAGGTTAAGATAGATATTTGCATTTTGTTGCCAGAACACAATACTATTGGCATTTACTACTAATCTTGTCAATTGGAGATACATAATGATTCTTTTTTTGGGAGGTACCAGAGATTAAACTTGGGCCCTTGCGTTTGCAAGGCAGGCGGCGGCACCACTGAGCTAAATCCCGGCCCTTAAACTGATAATTCTTACAAAACACATTCATTATGTATTCCTTTTGAAAACATGAAATCTCTAAAGGCCAACAAAGACACAAGATCAAATAAAGACCTATGGTTTTAAAACATTCACACATTGCTCAATGGCCTATCTGATATGGCTTTAGTGACTTAGAACTAAGAAAATGTAGAACTAATACTGCATGACTTCTAAGTGCAGCTTCTTCCTGGGTATTTTGGAATGCATGATTTCCGAATCCATCTGACAGGCTGTGAGAAATCCACACATAGACAGGCCAAAAGTAAACTGCAGATGGTTCTGATCAACAGTTCCAGACTAGTTTTGGCTTTAAGGAATTTAAATCCAATCACCAGCCATGTGAGATGATGACTCCAGATGAGTATAGCCCTCAGCTGCTCAAGCTATCCTCAGCCCTTACTTTTCCCAGACAAGGTCTCAGACATCACACACAGAGAAGCCATCCCCATTGTACCAATTCCTGAAGCACAGAATCCATAAGCATAAAATGGTTACACTAAATTTGGGTGGTCTCCCCACTGCACCATCTCCCCGAACCTAGGGCCTCATGCATAGGCAAGTACTTGTCCACTGAGCTACATCCCCAGCCCCTGGGTGGGTTTTTAATGCAGAAGTATCTAGAACATATATTGATCCTGTTGACAGATACTGTTAAATATAGCAGTTGTGGTGATGAGCTAATGGACAAATGCTGGATGATTATTCATGGAACAAGGGCTAGAAGTTTAAAGTATATACAGTTAGCATTCCTTAGTCCCTGCTCTAATATACTGTAAACACTATCTTTACAGAACTGTAAATTATACTAATAGTTACCAGGATACAGGAGCCATTTTGTAAAAGAATTCTATTACACTTCCAAAACCCAATTTCTCTTTTGAGGCAGGGTCTCACTAAGTAGTTCCAATTGGCCCTGAACTCACTATGGAGCCCCAGCTGGCTTCAAATTCACAGTGATCCTCCTACCTCTGCCTCAGTCTCAGCACTGGGATTATAGACATGTACCACCATGCCCAGTCCTAATTTCATTTATATACTTACATATATATAT